CGGGGACGCGGCGGCGACTTCAGCGAGCGGGAGGGCGGCGTCGGTGTCCGGCTGCGCGTGGAGCGCCGGGCGCGTTTCTCCGGCGGCGTCGCGGGCGGGGAGCGACTGCGCGCGCGCTTCACCGCCGCGGCCGACGGCTTCTCCCCGCTGGGGCTCGACGGCATAACACACTCGGAGCGCGGCTGCACGGCAGGCAGGGAGCGGCGGAAGGCAAACAGACAAGAGGAAAAAGGAAGAAAAAAGGAAGAAAAGGAAAACGTGGAAACCTCCGCCCGCCCCCAAAAAAAAGTACACGCACAGTGCGTTCATCTCGCTGGCGACAGCGTACGCCCTGCGCGCCACGCAGCAGCGCCTAGGCCTCAGGGCCGGCCCACGCAAACCAAGCGCGTCCCCCAGACCCGATTTCACCCCCACAACCCCAATTTCCGTCCCCGTGCGTGTGTGTGTGTGTGTTTGCATGCTTATAAATATACAGTAGATGTATATTACATTACATTATGTACAGCTCCCCCGCCCCCTGTCCCTGTCCCAGTTCAGTTTGTGTTAAACATATTTTCTTTTTGGCTTTGCCCCCACCACGTCCTTCTTTCCCCACACACTCACACACCCTCACACACTCGCCCCCCGCCGTCCCCGTTTTGGCTTATTTGTGATTCCTTGCGATCCTGGACTCTCCGCGAGGCAGCCGCGCGGACACGTGCATGCGTCGACGCCGTAGCGCCCCCCGTGTGTCGTTGCCTCTCGCCTCCTCCCCGCGCCCCACCACCACCCCCACTTGGGCGCCGGCCTCCTGCAGGCCTCACACGGCCGGCTCATTCGAGCCAACGTCGCCGTCGACGTCTTTCTCCTTCTCCGCGTCAGAGTTGTATGGGGGGCAGGGGACCGGGGCTTTTCGCTGCTCGCGCAGGTGCCGCCAGTTGCGGCTCTCCACGTACCAGAGCACCAGGTTGTACACCGTGACCGCAAGCAGCACGCACAGCAGCAGCAGCGCGATTGCCGCGTAAGCCCGCACCCAACCGTCGCCCGGCGCCCGATACGCCGCCGCGTTGAAGAGGCAGAGAGTGCCGAGCAGCGCAAGTCCGGCGGTGTGCATCACCGTCTGGAAGAGGGAGCGCATCATGTTGACGCAGAGCGTCACGGCGGCCGCAAGGAACAGCACCGCCGCCATGCAGAAGTACAGGAGAGAGCACCTCTCCAGCGGCGGCTGCAGCGCCGCGAGCACGCCGACGAGGCACAACACCGACAGCTCAAAGACGCACCGGTACGCTCCTCCGCCCCTCACCTGCGCCAAGGCGCCGCCGCACATCCGCAGCTGCGCCGGCGGGCCCCAGTAGCCGACGGGGTACAGCCACCGCACGGGCAGCGGCCGCGTTGCAAACGCCGTGTACTCCATAAACTCCGCCTGGCCGCGGCGCGTGAGGAAGAGGCAGACGCCGGCCGGGAACGCCACGCCGTAGAGGGCGCCGACGACCCCGACCACGTAGTGCTGCGGCTCGGCGCCGGGCGTCGCCAGCAGGAGGACGGAGCAGGCGCAGATGCCGGGGTGCATGGCGCACGCCACGAGGTACGTCAGGCTCGGGAAGCGCAGCGCCGCCCACGCGTCTGCCGCGTCCACGCCACGGCAACGACGGTACGCAACGGTCGCCGCGTAGTGCAGGCCCCCGAACACCGCGACGATCAGCATGTTGCCCACGACCATCCACAGGGGGCCAAGGCCGGCGAAGACCGAGAGGAAGTACGGCAGCAGCGCAAAACTCTCACGCTCCCACGCCGGCGCGCACTTCATCATATTGAAGGTGCCGAATGTCTGAATTTCCAGCAGGGCGCCGAGGCCGCCTCCGACCGCCACAGCCGCCGCCGCCGCGCCGGCGCCGACACCGCTCAGCAGCAGAAGCGCCCGCGGCAGCCCGGGCGGCGTGTTCGAGGCAATCGTGAACGCCCCTTGCAGCACCCCGCTGCATCCGCCGTGCACCGCGCGTGGCGTGTACCGAAGGACGACCTCCTCGTCCATTCCGATAAAGTAGCGGTCGTAGCACGGGCAGCGTGAGCTCCAGCACCCTGTGCGGGTCCGCCGCGTGGCGCAGCCAAGTCGCGTTGCGCAGCAGCGCCCCCCACGGCCCACTGAAGCCGTTCGGCTGCGCCGCCGACGCCAGCGCGAAGCTCAAGTACGGGCGAAGGTCGGCGTCGCCCGCCCAGCGGAACGGCGGCGGCAGCGCCACCGTCAGCCGCTTCGGGTCGGCGCCGCTTGCGCGGATGTCCTCCAGCGTCAGCCCGCGGCCCGACGGCGTGGAGACGTCCAGCGCCGGGCACGCCACGGTGCGGTTGCAGCCGTCCACGCGCGGCAGGTGCACCGGCAGGCAGTCGCGTCCGTAGCCGCCCTCGGCGCAGCGGCAGCGGCAGGAGCCCGACACCGACTTCGTCGCTGCGGCAAAGCAGCTCACGCTGGCGTCGCACGCACCGCACGCCACGGCGCGTGTGTGTCCGGTGATGCCGACGGACGCGTACTCCGCCGGCGCCAGGACCCGCCCGTTGAGCGTCAGGCAGCCGACGACGAACTCCCCGCCGGCGCCCCCAGGCGCAACGCTGCCGTCCATCACGGCGCCGCCGCTGCCGGTGTTGCCGTACAGCGCGAAGGTGCTCTGCGACAGCTCCGTCGCGGGAGCCAACGAGAGCAGCCGCCGCCCGCCGCCGACGGCGTTGCCGCGCACCGAGAGCCAAGACCCGGACGCGAAGGACGCCGCCTCCCGCAGCACCAGCAGCGCGCCGTCGCCGGCCAGCGCCCCGGTGTTGTCGTTCACGACGACGGCAGACGCATTCACCGCGAGCCCCCCCGCAAACACCACGCCCATCCCGGCGTGCAGCTGGCTCTCCGACACGCGCAGCACCGCGCCGCCCGCGAGCACCGCTCGCCCGCCAACGTGCACGGCGTAGTCGCCGCCAAACGCGGCGCCGTCCAGCGCGATGCCGCTGCCGTGCAGCTCCAGCGCGGCGCCCTCGACCACCACCGTCCGCCCGTCCCTCGTGGCCGCCAGGAAGGCAACCCCGTGCATCGCCAGCGTGGAATTCACCAGCCGCAGGTCAGACAGCACCAGCGCCGGGGCGTACAGCGAGGACGGCGAGGACGGCGAGCCCGGCAGGTACACCAGCGGCGTCGGCTCCGTGGTGATCAGCAGGGAGTCGGTGACGGTCATCACGGACCCCGCTGGGAACTTCCCCGCCAGCACAATTGCGCCGTTGAACGCCTCCACGCTGCACACCGACACCTCCAACTGCCGCGCCACCGCCGCCGCCCTCGCGCGCGAGGCGACTGTTCCGCCCATCACGTACAGCACGGCGCCGTTCCGCAGCGACACGTTCTGGACGACGATGTGCACGTCACCTCGCGCCATCCACGGCACGTAGAGCACCGGATGCACGCCGTCCAGCACCACGTGGCGCAGCCTCACCTCGCGCGCGCCGTTCGGCACAACGAACTCCGACTGCACCACCGTATTCTCAATCGCAAAGACGCTCGACGCGGGGACACCAGCGGGCGGCAGCGCGGGCTCCCCCACCGGCACGCACGCCTCGCCGTACCCGCCGCCGCCGCACGCACACACACACGCACCGTCCCGCCCGCTCGCGGACGCCGTCCCGGGCGCGTAGCAATACGTGTCCTTGTCGCAGGCGTCGCACCCAACCACTTCTAGGCGCGCGGCGTCGCCAAAGCCCGCGGCGGCGTACTCGTCCGCCGTCGCCAGGGCACGCCCACCGGCGCGGTTGCACGCCGCCCGCAGGTGCGCCCCCGCGGCGAGCGAGAGCTCCACCGACAGCATCCGCGGGAAGAGCCCCCGGTTGCGCACGAAGCTCAGCGTACTCCCGTTCGCTGTCACGGCGCCGGCGGCGTAGAGCATCTCCTTCGACGCGCTGTCGTGCACGTTCTCCTTCGCCAGCAGCATCGCCCCGCCGTCCAGGTGCACCGTCGACGAAAACGCCACCGCGTGGTCCTGCGTCGACGCGAATTCGCTCCGCACGAACGCCAGAGTAGAGCCCGACACGCGCACCTCCCCGTCCACCGCCACCGCGTGCCTGCACAGCAGGAAGTCGCTGTCCACAAACGCGAGCACGGAGCCGCCGCTGGCCGCCACACCACCCTCCACCGACACGCACAGCCCCAGCGCGGTCTGCACCGAGAGCCGGTCCAGGTACAGCGCACCGCGCGACGGCAGCGCGACGCCGCCGACCACCAGCACGCCGACAGCGTCGCCGAACATCGCCACCACCTGCGTGCGCGCGACGGTCAGCACGCTCCCCGTCAGGCTCACGCCGTACAGCACGAGGCATCCCGACGCGCCGCCGAGGTCGTAGGCGCCGCGGTACGCAACGCGCGTCTCCGCAATCAGCACAGAGTCCACCACCGTGACGCGCGAGCCCGGCGGGTATCGGTTCGCCAGCAGCACGCCGCCGCCGGAGCGCGACTCAAGCCCGCTCACCAGCACCTCCACCTGCAGGCCCTCAGGCGGCTCAGACGCCCACCCGACAACGTACAGGCTCGCCCCGCCCACGAACGTGCAGTTTGCCAACGTCACGTTGCGCGCGCTCCCAGACATCGCGGCCACGTCCACCACGACGTCCGCGGCGAAGGTCACCCCCACGTAGCACACCGCCGACTGCTGGAACCCGGCCATGACTTCCCACGTCACATTCATGTCCCGCACGCACGGATCTTCATAGTTCATGGGAATGTCGACGGGCAGGCACGCGCCGCCGTGGCCGCCCTCCGCGCACGTGCAGGCGCAGCCGTCACCCGAAGCCGTCGTCGTATACCCGGGGAAGCACGGCGCCGCCTGGCCGCACTTTCCCCCGCAGCTCTCCACCTTGACGGAAAAAACCGCGCCGAGACCCTTCGGCACCGCGTCCGTCGCGTCCGTCGCCTCCGCCAGGTGGTTGCAGGCGAGAACAAGGACCGAGGAATTATCCCCCTTTGAAATACTGGAGGAGCTGAGCAGCGCGGCGTCCCCCGCACCGTCACGCACAGGGGACACGCTGTTGCCGGACACCACCAGACGCGACCGCCGCGTCGTTACAGGCCCGACGCGGCACACGACACTCGCGTTGTCGTGTGCGGCGTTCTTGTGGATCCACACCCAAGAGTCCAGCAGCTCCACCGCCCCCTCCGCGTGCAGCACCGACCTCACAACCAGCCCCACGTTGCGTTCAAGCAGCAGGGCGGACTTCTCCGTCAGCGACAGGGAGCCAAAGCGCACAAAGCTCTTCAGCGCGCCGGAGACGACGCTGCGCGCCACGCTGACCACCGAGTTGTTCCGCACCTGCACCGCCGTCCCACTAGCGCCGCCTGCCACGTGGAGCCCCGCGCCGCCGCCGCCCGTGACGGTGAAGGTGTTGTCCGCCATCGCGAATGCCGAGTGCGACCGCACTGCCACGCCACCCTCCGCGACGTACACCGCGACGGAGTCCGGCCCCGCCGTGTGAAAGCTGTTGCCCTCGAGGAGAAGCGTGGAGCGGGTGCTGAGCGTCAACTCCCGCGCGAGGAGGCAGGCCGGGTGGTCGAACACCACGCCCGGCACCGGAATGGCCCGCGTCACGTTGAAGCGGTTCCCGTCGACGCTGATGGTTGTGCGCGGCGGGAACGCGCCGGTGGGGCTCAGCACGGCGTCCTCAAAACTGTTGCGCGTCACGACGATGTTCAGCAAACCCACGGCCGGGTTGGCGGCGCCAGCAATAATGAGCGCCGCCCCCCGCTCCCACCGGCAGTCGTCGAAGGTGACGCTGGCGGCCTCCCCGGCCATCGCGGCGACGTCCACCGTGAGCCGCATAAACGCCCCGCTGAAGGTCACGTTGCGGTAGCACAGCCGCGACAGCCCGGCACCCACCGTCTGCGTCACCTCCGGGTACGCCATGTCGCTGACGCAGTCGCCGTCGGCAGGGGGCTGCGGCAGCGAGAGCGACGGCGGCGGCGGCGGGAGCGCCAGGCGCGACGGGACGCACGCGTCACCGTACCCGCCCGCCGCGCACTCGCACGTGCAACCGTTTCTCGCCGTCGTCAGCGCGTCAAAGCAGAGGCCACGTGGCTCGCACGCCCCGCACTGCGCCACCGTCGTCACGCCTTTGATGCCAACGGCCGTCATTGCCGCCTCCGTCGTCAGTAGCTCTTTCCCTACCGTCAGGCAGCCCGCGACGAACTTGTGCCCGGCGTCGGCGCCTTCCTTTAGCAGCGCCTGCGTCGGGCCCGTGGCCCGCATCTTGCAGCCCGTCAGCGTCAGCGCACTGCTCCCGTCGAGGTCCACGGCGTAGGCGGAGGCGGCACGGAGCAGTTCGGCGGCCTCGACGTCGTTGTCACGCAGCTCCACCCAGCTCGACTGGCGCGCGGTCCAGGCACCGTAGAGGTAGACGCCGAACCGCACCGGGCCACGGTTCCCCACCATGCGAAGGACACTGAGGTTCTCCAGTGCGACGTCCCTGCTGTCCAGGATGCTCTCGCCCGAGAGCACCACGTTGTTGTGTAGCGCCAACACGGAGCGGTTGGCCAGCTTGGTCGCGCCGCGCAGCTCCACAATGGACTTGGCCCCCGCAAGGGTGCAGTGCTGCACGTACAGCGCGCTCCCCTCCAGCAGCGTCAGCGACTCCTCCACGGAGAGGCAGGAGCCACTCGGGAGATACCCCGCCACCCGCCGTGGGCGGCGGAGGTTGACGTCGCGCAGCAGCAGCGCGGAAGCGCCGGTGAGCAGTACGTCCCGCAACGCCACTGCGGCAAACCTGTTGGAGAGGCCGTTGGTGCCAACGGCTAGGGAAATTTGCTCTGCGTCGACCTCTGTGACGGCGATGTCGGTGCCGCGCGGGAGGGCATACGAAATGTACACGCTGGCCGACCGCATCACCGTCCTGTGCACGCGGATCAGGACGCCAGCGGACTCCGCCAGGTCGCGGCCGCCCATAAAGTGCAGCGCGGCCCCGTCCAGGAACGTGCACCCAGAGAAGGTGATGTTGATAGGGAGGTGCAGCGGCATTCGCGTGAGCGAGAACTTCGCCACCGCGCCCGCGCCGCTGAAGGTCACGCCCACGTAGCAGTGGTGCGTCTTCCACATGTCCAGTGAGACGTTTGTGAGCGTCTGGCCCACCACGCAGCCCGTGCTCGTCTCCACAGGCGCCTCCGGCCGCGGCACCGCGGCGGCTCCAAACATCTCCGGCCCAGGCACGCGGCACGCCGCGTCGCCGTCCTTGCAGGCGCCGCATTCCACCCGGCGGGCCGCCGCGAAGGCGTCCAAGTACGTCAACTCCGCCCCGTCCTTCGTGTTGCAGCCCGCCAGCAACGCCGCCGGCGGCGTCACGCTCGCCTTGGCTTGCAGCGTCGCGGGAGCGGCGGGGCCCTCCACAACGTTGTGGGCGAAGACGGCGTCGCTGCCGCCGCCTGTCAGCGTGAGC